TGTTGTGTAGCTATGTCAATATAACTGCATCAGATTAGCCGCAGACCTGATTGGTTGAGAATCTTGCCAAGTCCATTTTCTCAGATGAGTGCTATTTCTGCCTTAAACTCTAGTTGCAGTGCATGTAGCTAATCGGAGAAAGTAATAGTTCACGGATAAGTTTTAACACCGATTAAATAATCAACGATTTGTTGGTACCAGAACAATAGTATGCAATAGTATACACTCTCCAAAATGACAATTATTGTAAGTTTCTCTAAGGCAACATTAGCAAGGTTATAGCTAGAATATGGGGAATTTGGTGAAGCATTGATATGACGTCAAAATCTGAAGACGATGCAAAAATAAGGCATCCTGTAATTTACTTTGGGTGTCTGTCATTAAAGTGGTTTCATGCTGTAGCTCATTTGTAGCTTTACCTTGGCCAGAAAGCATTGTCCTTGCCCCAAGGAAGACTCTTTCGCGCCGATGGATGATTTCGTGTGCGCAAAAAAAAATCGTATGAGACTATAGATTCAAACTGTCACAGAGTATTGAACAAGTTCACAATGGCTTTAGAATGGGGATGGTTTTGTGAATATTCCGTGTATACCAATGAAAATGTGATGGCTTTTCACAGATTGTATGTTCGCTATCCTTCCTAACGGTGATGATTTGTCAAGGCCAGATGAAGCAAATTTTCATCGTGCGTATCACGAAACTGTTTCCAGGAACACTCGATTAAATTCAGTTAAATTTCTGTTTTCCTAGCTTTCTCACATGCTTTGCCCTATGAATTCTCTGTATTCGTCGGTAAAACACATCACTATTATTTCAAATATTTTCTACATCTGTGAAGTGAGTGTACACCATACACCGTTATTTAACCGCAGTCCTCTACATTGAGCAAGTATGAGGTATATTGTACACCTAAATTCCACACAGTCATACCAATCGAACGCATTTCAATTACCAACAGCTTTTTTAACAACTTGTTCACTTTATACCACATCATGCAAAAATTGTTATTTAGGCAAAGAAAATAGCTTAAATTTATAATTATATAGAGTAACGTGCACACACATTATTACACACAAATAAATATCCTAAAGATGAAGGTATTATTAGTCTCATGCCTTTTTAACGCAGTTCAGTGGTGAATATTGAGTATAATGATCGTATATTATACAGTGAAAATTTCACAATTGAGTAAATAACAATGGGTCAAGGTTTGGACATATTTATACATTTATGCATATCACTATTTTAGAGACTAGATATTACATAGCAGTTCAGGAATCATGTCTTTGTTCCTATTGACATTTTTCTACAATTCCTATATTACTCCGTATTTTAGTTTGACACTTTTTTATATTATTTATTACTTCTTCTTCTTCTTCTGCGAGACATGAGTGATCATGGCTCTCCACAACTTTCTCTCTCGTGTAGGTCTTAAGAGTTTATCTCCTTTTGCTAAGATCTCTAATTCCGTTCCGCCATCTGTTCACACAAGCCTGTCACGTAAGTGACTGGTTGCCTTCTTTCATTTAATATGCTCCTAGAAGGCTAAGTTTTCATTATATGTTCAAGTAATTTCAGCAGTTTTTTCCTGATTTTGAGTGTACCTGTCTTTTTGTTACCATTTTATTTAAGGCTTCCTTTTTGCCTATTCGATCCGTTCATTGAATTTACAATATACTTCTGTAGTTCCACATTTCGGCTGCCTGTAGTTTTTGGGACATTTATAGGAAAATTGTCCAATAGTCAATGATATATAAGAGGAGGGATATCGCATAACAATCCAGTACACTTTTCTTTTTCTAACGAAAATTTCAATTTGTCGAAACCTTACTTATCATTCGGAATGCTTCTTTGGCTAATCCAATACGTGTTCGGATCTTAGCGTAGCATTTACCATTCTCTGTTAAAACGCTTACGAGATATTTGAACATCAGCAACTACTTGATGTTTATATCTCCAATTTGTAACTCGCATTTTTCTGTCTTGTTGCATTTGATGGTTGGTTATTTCTTCTTGATTTTTTCTACCACCCTTTCTAGAGGGTGCTGTAGTTTCCTTTCCGAGTCTACCATCAACGTAGTTTCATCTGCGTACCTCATACGGTTAAAATTACATCCACTGATAGTAATTTTTTTTTAACTACTCAGTAATCTTAGAAATTTAAGAAAATATCCTAAGCGATCCAAAATTATATTGAATTTTCGGTAACATGGCTTTTTAGTCTAAATTTTGAAGACGCTTGTTGTGGAACTGCTAGAAAATTGCCAATAAATTTTCACTTTCCTGTAGTTACCGCTCATATTTTCTGATAATGTCGCGTTTGGACATATGCATTTACAAAAATCGACAAGTTTATACAGATATAAAATGAATTCAAAATTCTTTTTAAAATATTGGCGTCGTTAAATTTTAATGAGCTTTTCCATTTTTGATGAGTAAATGCAATCTTAATTTAATAAAAATATAACTTGACTACTACAAATTAATACAGAATATTAAAAGATAAATGAATTATTCGAGTTAAAATAAAAAAAAATAAAAATTCTCGTAAAAATTCATTATTTATAGAAAAAATGTTTTTATTAAAACAATATTGTATATTTTATACATAAAAGCAATTGAACTCTTCTAATTAAATAATGTCTTAGTCTGATTGCATTGTTTATTTTCCAATTCAGATCAAGTTTTCGGTAACGAGGTAACCTGTTTGACCAAGCGAATTTAATTATTTAAATTCTGTCAGAAGTTGTTCTTATAACTAATATAAACATTAGGTGCTACGAAAAAGAATTTCTCCCAATTTCATAAAATTAAATAAGTGGGAGTTAAAAAATCCAGAAAAAAAAATTACAAAGGTTTTCTAGAAACGAATCATTTAAAAAAAAATTTCATTTATTTGTGAATAATACTGAAATTTTAATTAATCCCGACTATTATTAAAAATATATATATATTAAAAATCAGGAAATTAATACACAGAAAATTTTAAAATCGCAGCCTTAAAGTTAAGATCGACAGTAAGTTAAAAAAAAAGTAATTTCCTTGATGTTACATTAGACCTAGTTAATAATGCATTCCAACTCTACATAAAAACAAACGCCAATCCAATATATCTCAGCCCAAATTCTAATCATACTCCATCTGTAATCAAACACATACCCTCCTCCATAGAATATAGGATTGCAATAACTATTCCAGTGAAGATGTCTTTTACAAGCATAATAAATTTTATAACTCTTCCTTAAAAATAGCGGCTATAAGTGCTATGACATCAAATATATAAAACATAACAGCGATAGTAGGAATAAAGATAGAAACTGAGAAATCGTTTAGCACACACCCCTATTTAACCAAATCGTTAATACTAAGTTAGGGCAGAAGTTTCTCCATTTAATTAAGAAACACTTCCCCAGAAATAATCTACTTAGTAATTTTTTTTTATTAGAAATATACTAAAAGTAAGCTCTAGCTGTACCGATAATCTTGAAAAATTATTAAAAAACATAATGATAAATTTTTAAATAAATACAAAAACCTGAGTAATAACGGCCATCCCAAAGCAAAAAATACAGATAATACCAAACAAATGTAATTGTAGAGAGTCTAAAAAATGTCCATTACAAAACAGATGTCAAACAGACTCTCTTGTTTACTTAAGAACTATTTCTACTACAGAAAATCTAACAGTTAAAAAATGTTATGTTGGGAGTACCAGGAATTACATTAAAAACTAGGTGATGCTAACATATATTATCTTTCTCCAATAACGCGTACAGAAATAGGACGTCCCTTTCTAAATATTTCTGGAACTTAAAAGAAGTTAACAAAACTCCTCCGGTAAAATGGAAAATATTTAAAAAAGAATCTAGAACTTGTAAATCTTTAAATGAACCGTACTTCTTATGCTTACATGAAAAATTACAAATAATCAAATTTGCTGAAAAAAATCCCTGTTAAACCAAAGGAGAGAATTAACTGTAAATTTCCAATACAGATTATCTTTTACCTTAAAAATAGTTTAATTTTTACGTATTACCTTTTCTTATAGCCATACTTTATTAGTATATAATGGTCTACACTCTACGACTAATTACCTTAATATTTTATTCAGCTTAATATTGCTATGTATTGCTGTCCAGTTAGCATTATTAATATCGTATATAGATGTCCCACATTTTTAATTTTATCTACATGTCCCTTCAAGAAGAAGCTTCCTAAATATAATGAAAAAAATATTTTTTTCTGTTAAATTCACGTTAGATTAACCCACTCTCCTTTCAACGCCCTTACAAAAAAAATTGAACATGTTATATTTGTTTACAGCCACGATGCATTTGTCGCTGGCATATTTTCCGCAATCATCAATGATATCATATCTATGGCACCGGTTTATCGTGACATGAAAAAATAACTCACCCACCTCCACCCACTGAGGTTTCTTTTCTATCTAGCGTAGATCTGAACTTTAACTGGTTAATCAAGACATACCCTCAAGTTTATTTTTTAATTCTAACATTATATCCCCACCCTTTAACTTTCGGAAAAAAGGTAACGTTTTGTTTGTTTTTTTTAATTTTCCTTAAAAATCATTTAATAATCAGTTAATTACCATCACATGAAGAAGTAAAATTATAGTATTGAAACATGAAAACTTTTATGTAGCGATTTGAAAATGTTTTTATTATAATCTCTTATAATATCTATCTATCTATCTATCTATCTATATATATATATATATATATATATATATATATATATATATATATATATAAGAGAGAGAGAGAGAGAGAGAGAGAGAGAGAGAGAGAGTCAGATCTCTCTATGAGGGCTACTGGTATAATAAAACCAAGAAATACGTAATGTATGGTCGTGTTATCGGTGGCTAAATCTGTTCTCCTAGCAGGGTTTTCTGGTGACGTTGATTGATTTGTTCTTGCGGATCTTTTGGTTATTTAAAACAGGAACATAATTTCCGATATTGTGAGTTTGCTTAGAGTAACAGATGTTCCCAAGTGGTCCCCCATCTAAGTATTGATCGAACTTGATGCTGCTTAACTGCGATGATCGAAGGAGAACCGGTGTTTTCAGCGTGATGCAATCGTAGGCTTTTGATAAGTGAATGGATTTACACCGAGTAGGATTCAAAACAGAATCTATGAAAGGGCGGAGGGATCCTTCTATGAGACCGACACTCACATAGCGCAGCTGCGGGAATGTAGAAATATCTACTGGTGTCCAAGCAAGCGGTAAGCACACGTAGAATGTTCGGTCATTTAGCCTCCCTTAAGATATATAACGAGGAGAAAAAAAAATTTAATGTGACACCTGGCGTTGGACAGAATCCAATAATGTTGACGATACATGCTGCTTCTGCTTAGCGAATGGGATCGACACAGCGTAACGTCTGTAACCACTTTAAAAATCTAACGTAAAGGCATTGCTTCATATCAGTCTTTTCCAATATGACTATATTGTGAATTCTTTGAAAGAAAACGAGGTTTCAGTCATCATCATCATCATCAATATATATGTTAAGCAGTGTTACATTATAACATGTACAGACTCACTACAAAACTGTACATCGTGTTTCAATGATAAAAAAAAATATTTTTTAACGTTTCATCAGGTGGGGAATCACGATGATACTCCAACGATGAAATGTTAAAAATATTTTTTAACATTGAAACAAGATGTACAGTTTTGTATGGGTATGTACATATTCTAATTTAACACTGCATAATAAATAAATATTTATTGCTCTACTTTTGTATTAAGGCCTGTTTTAAATTAATGTTTTGAACGCTGAAATCTTAATCTTCATTTGGGTATATATATATATATATATATATATATATGTAACTATACTCGTCTCGAAAAACCTTCGAATTTTTGATTTGCCCATAACCAAATCAATCTTGAAGAAAAAAAAAAAGGTTTTAAAAAAAGAAAGAGCTAGAAACATGAAATTCTGTCAGATTTAAAGCCCAAAGAAAAAAACCCGACACGAGTAAACAACTAACTAACAAAAGAGCTCAATACAACCGTAGACCAGACCCCACCACCGGTGTTGTTTTGTTTTTTCTTGTCTTGATTTTTATTTTTTTTTATTCTTCTTTTTTCTTTGGTCACGTGGTATAGTTTGAATTGTCGCCTATAAATATGCCGTTTCTCTTTTGCCTCTTTAGCCAGCTTTCCTGACGATCCGCTTAGGTGAAACCTGGGTAGGTTTGTCTGGCTCATTAGGTTTGACTATGTATATATATATATATATATATATATATATATATATATATATATATATATATATGTAGAGAGAGAGAGGAGAGAGGAGAGAATCAAAATTAGGTCGAATAGGGTTTTTTTTTTAACTATGTTTTTTTTAGCTAAATTTATTTAATTTTTTTTTCTTAAATTTAATCTGTTTTTCTTAAATTTAATCTTTTTAATTTTCACATAGTTCAGGGTACCCATAATGGCAAACAATTTAAATATTGGTGCAAGAAAATGGCTGTTAAATGAGTATTAAAATGGCTTATTGGAGGATGATCTAGACAGGCGGCTGCAATTAAGTGAGATCATGCTGAACGAAATTAAAGAAAATCGAATAATTTTAGATAATATTGTCTGGATAGATAACGCTCCTTTCAAATTATTTTATATGTAATAATTGTTTACCAAACAAATTTCTTCGTATGCAATCTCAAAATAAATATTATCATTTAATGTCCTTTTGGTTGACTCTGTTTATAACACAGTTTTCATTGAAGATGACTGACAAGGCACCCCGATTAAATTTTTATTATATTTTTCTTACATACTCACAAGAAATGTCATTTTGCGGGAATGTAAGAACTGTCCAAATCATAATTGGGTCCAAGCGCTTTCAGACAATCTATCAGCCATTATCGAGGATGTGCTTATTTGTCTTCATGTGTAGATTGGGATGCTTTTTTTTTTAATCAATATAAATATTTCAATTCCCGAATACAGCACAATCAACAGATATATAAAACACTTATTCGCACAATAGCAAAGCCTTATCAACTTCAATGAAACCTATATAAAAGAGGGATTTCTACCTAAATACGCAATTATATACATATATATATATATGTGTGTGTGTGTGTGTGTGTGCGTATGTATTCGAAAACGAAATGAAATTACAAAGACATTAAATTATGAATGCCCAAATATCATTGCAATGTTTAATTAATTTATTTTGTTTAATTCCAATTACAACATGATTGAATAATTCCCTCTTGAGAGCAAATATCTGCAATCTTCGAGAAAAAAAAATACTGAAATGAAAAATCAAAGAGCTGAACAAAAACTTTTTAAAATTATATGTTTTCACAATTTCTAAACTGACTTAAATTTTATATTACTCAGAGAATTCTTTGTTATTTATATTTTACTGTATTTGTTTCTTTTTGTTCCAGAATTCGTCAGAATTATAAGAGTTTATATAAGATGAATCTGACTTAAGCAAGCAAGTGCGCACAAGCATTAAAAGGCTCTTAGATATCCATATATGCACATACACAGAGATATACAAACACACACATACGCATGCATCTATCTATCTATCTATCTATCTATCTATCTATCTATATATATATATATATATATATATATGTCTGTGTGTGTATCTCTCTCTGTATATACATATTTAAATAATCATACAAATTCACAGGCAAATACTCACACAAATAATGGTATAACTTTATTATATATATATATATATGTATATGTGTATATATATATATATATATATATATATATATATATATATATTTATATTTACCTTACCAGGCACGCACTCACAGACATACACACAGACACACATACACATAAACACACACACATTATATACATATAATGTGTGTGTTTTCTAACAAAAAAAATATTGGAAAATAGCTGACCTTTTACTACATGATAATCCGCAGGTGAAACCACAGTGGAGATTTTTTATGTTCCGGAAAATGGTGCACACCCACACACACATATATATATATTCTATATATATATATATATATATATATATAAATATATATATATATATATATATATATATATATATATATATATATAACTACTACTATAATGTACTGATGCGGCATTCACCCTGTTGTGAGAAGACGATTCTTGGGATAAATTACAGAAGTAGGGTACCCAGGCCTACTCGGATAACGTTCTTGCTTGCCGCAGGATTCCCACAGACGCAGAGACAGGAACGACCAGAAGCCGCCGGTTACCGATGCAGACGCTCCTTGGATTTTCATCAGAGCCCTTGTTAGCCGGCGTGTGTGTCAGACCTGTCCGCCTTGGGTGGCCCTACCAGGAACGAAGTTCCGGGCGGCATAGCTCTGACACTACCGTTTACACCCCCCCACCGACTGTGAGGTAAGGGTTGGACTTTGGCTTACGGTCAAATCACGCTGAAACACCGGTTCTCGTTCGATCACCGAAGTTAAGCACCGTAGAGCCAGGTCAGTACTTAGATGGGGGACCGCTTGGGAACACCTGGTACTGTAAGCCCCGAAAGTCCAAAAAATATATATATGAGTGTGCGTGTGTTTCTGTGTGTGTAATATAATTTTATAGTATACTATACTTGTACGGTACTCATTTTCCGTGCATGTTTAAAATGATGTGGCATGAGACTTCTTCATGCCTGAAGTTTGCATTCTAGCCACATGATATTGACAACAGTGTCCACACTTTTCATATATATATATATATATATATATATATATATATATATATATATATATATATATATATATATATATGGGTGTATGTGCGTATGCGTCAGTGTGTGTGTTTCTGTGTTTCTGTGAAAATAGGGATACACTTATATAATATAGATTCAAATATTGCAACATCGATTAGAATTATATAAATAGGCTTGATCTAAATCAATAAATAATACAGCGACAAAAACGAAATATAGAATTTGATGAAGAAATGCGTAAGGAAGAAATAATCCTTTTTGATAACTGTTTGGTTCCCGCCTCCACGTTGATGTTATTTTCAGAATATCATAATTAAAAATACATTAGAATATAAACGAAATATATTAGGAGAAAAAGCTACATGGAACAATGAATTTCGGAGAGGATTTAGCTCGGGTTTTCTGTCACGTTTTAGGAATTAAGAGAAGAAAAACAAATTCAATACCGGCTAATATTGCCAAAAAAGAAAAAGAAACAAAACAAAAACAGGAAAAAAATGAAAGAAAATGTTCTTCGTGTGAACCAAACAATGACCAGGATATGAAAGAGGATTATTAAATCGGGATCCCTTGCTTAGCGTAATATATTTATAGATTTATAAATCCGAACACTTGTACGAATCTCCACATAATATTTTCGCGCGTGCCCTTAAGTGCGTGTGTTCGTGATGTGACAGGAAATGCAGTTAAATATTCCAGAATATCTATATACGTTTATATTTCTAGGGATTCTTTCAACCCTGTGTGTATGCATATGCGCATAGTTATAAATGTGTGCTCATGCATATAGATGCATATGGAGTTGATATGTATTAATTTCCTTTTCTATCTATCTATCTATCTATCTATCTATCTATCTATCTATGTCAGTGTGTTCATTATCTATCTATCTATCTATCTATCTATCTATCTATCTATCTATGTCAGTGTGTTCATTATCTATCTATCTATCTATCTATCTATCTATCTATCTATCTATCTATCTATGTCAGTGTGTTCATTATCTATCTATCTATGTCTATCTTCATTATCTATCTATCTATCTATCTATCTATCTATCTATCTATCTATGTCACTGTGTTCATTATTATCTATCTATCTATCTATCTATCTATCTATCTATCTATATCAATTGTGTTCATTATCTATCTATCTATCTATCTATCTATCTATCTATTCATTCATCTATCTATGTCAGTATGTTCATTATCTATCTATCTATCTATCTATCTATCTATCATCTATCTATCTATCTATCTATGTCAGTGTGTTCATTATCTATCTATCTATCTATATATCTATCTATCTATCTATCTATCTATCTATCTATGTCAGTGTTTCATTATCTATCTATCTATCTATCTATCT